GGCGCGTTGTCGTTCTGGTCCACGATGAGGATGTTGACGGTGGCGTTGCCCGCCAGCGCCTGGGGGCTGCCGGCATCCCGCGCTTCCACCTGGAAGCTGAAGTCCTTGAGCTGCTCGTAGTCGAAGGAGCGCAGGGCATACAGGTAGCCGTTCTCGGAGTTGATGGATACGTAGGTGAAGACGCTCATGCCCTGGATCTGGCACTCGAGGATCGAGTAGGCGAGCTGGGCGTTGGCGCCCTCGTCGCGATCCGTGGCGCTCACGGCGTAGATGTAGGCGCCCGGCACGTTGTTCTCGGTCACATACACGTCGTAGACTGGCTGGTGGAACCGCGGCGCGTTGTCGTTCACATCGGACACCTGCACCTGGATCGACTTGCTGGTGGAGAGCGACGGCTCGCCCCGGTCCCGGGCCACCACGGTCAGGGTGTAGGAGTCCCCCGCCTCGCGGTCCAGAGGGGCCTCGGTCACGATGGTGTAGTAATTCTTGAAGGAAGACTTGAGGCGGAACGGCACGTCCCCCAGCAGCTCGCACTGCACCTGCCCGTTCTCCTCCGAGTCGCGGTCGGTCACGCTGAACAGGGCCACCACCGTGCCGGGCGCCGCGCCCTCGCTCACCGCTTCCTTCACGGTGCTGAAGCTGATCTCCGGCGCGTTGTCGTTCGCGTCCAGCACCCGCACGAGCACCTTGCAGTGCGCGGGCACGGCGTTGGGGCCCAGGTCCTTGGCTTGCACGTACACCTGGTACACCGGGCTCTCCTCGTAGTCCAGCTCCCCGCTCACCTCCAGCCGGCCTGTGCGCGGGGACAGCCCGAAGAGCTCCCGCGCCCGGGGGGAGATGTGGCTGCTGAAGGAGTACACGACCTCGCCGTTCTGGCCCTCGTCTGGGTCGGTGGCGTTGAGCTGGATCACCAGCGTGCCCGGCGGCGAGTTCTCGGGCAGGGACACCGTGTAGACGGGCTGGTCGAAGGCGGGCACGTTGTCGTTGGAGTCTAGTACTCGGATGGTGAGTAGGGCTGTGCCGGTGCGCTGCTGCTGGGGGGGCAGGCCCCCTCCCCCGCCGCCTCCCCCTCCTTCGCCGCCTCCTCCTCCTCCTCCCCCGCCTCCCCCGTCCACCGCGGTCAGCACGTAGCGGTGCACCGCTTGCTGCTCTCGGTCCAGCGGCTTCTCCAGCACCAGCTCGGCGAACCGGTTGCCATCCCCCTGGGTCTGCACGTCCAGGGAGAAGTAGCTGTTGGGGGTGATCTCGTAGTCGCGCAGGGAGTTGGTGCCCACGTCTGGGTCGAAGGCGCTCTCCAAGGGGAAGCGGGTGCCCGGCGTGGCGCTCTCGGAGATCTCCACGGTCAGGTCCGGCTCCGGGAAGGAGGGGGGGTTGTCATTGATGTCCAGCACTTCGATCTCCACCCGGAACAGCTCCAAGGGGTTCTCCAGGAACACCTCCAGGTGCAGGACGCAGGAGGGGCTCTGCTTGCAGATTTGCTCCCGGTCGATCTTCTCGTTCACGTACAGCACCCCGGTCTCCAGGTTGAGGTCCAAGTATGGGGTCCGAGAGTTGGGCACCGTCTGAAACCTGCGAGCCGAAAGTTTTGTAATGTCCAGGCCCAGATCTTCCGCGATATTACCCACGAAAGTGCCATGCTCCTGCTCCTCCTGCACCGTGTAGTGAAGCTGGGAAAACACCCCTTCCACCATCCAGAGCAAGGCAAAAAATAATAGCACAATCATCTCCAAAGGGGAAGGAAGCAGCTTCCCGCAGCCCGCCAGTCACCTCCCCCACCGGCACGAGGAAAAAAAATTAAATACAAATAAAAGTGTTCTACGTGGGGGGGGGATCCTGTGGCTTTTTGTCCTGAAAAATCTTATTCTTTTTGCTTCATTTTAGGGCTTCCCCCAGGTCAGCCTCATTTTTCAATCTTAGCGCAGGAAGAGTGGCAGGCGTCCCCTTTCCTCATCTGTAATCTTCCCACTGACCAATTAATAAAATAATAATACAATAGTCAGCGTCCTTTATTCCGACAGTCTTGGCGCAACGCGACGCTGGCAAATCCCAAGGAGGAAATTTCGATATTTCAAGACTGTCCTCGGTTTGTCTTCCTGCTGATGGGAGGAGAAGGAGGAGGGAAAGGAGGAGGAGGAGGAGGAGGATGAAGAGGAAGAGGAGAAGGAAGAGGAGATGCTGCCGGCACCGCTGAACATGCCTCTTAATGTCAACGGCGGGCAAATGCAAAAGGGCTTAAAAGCAGGGAGAGAATGTTGTGCCGGAAAAGCATATAACGGCTCTGCAGCATAAAACTTTCATTCTCTTCATTTCTCCGGATGAATGTTCTAGGCATTTTTTTTTCTTCTTCCCCTTTCGCTCTATTTGTATTTTTTGGCTTCCACAGTCTTGTCTCTCTCCGTCCTCATTCCCACCGTCCTTTGACTCTCTGCAGGTGTGATGAGCAGTTTCTTTCCTGCTGTTTCCTCCCAAGCCTCTTTCCCTCTAAGCTGTCTCTCTTCCTTCCAGCCTTTCCCTCCTCCGGCTCAGCCCTAGAGCCTGCGATCTCGGCTGGCAGTTTCTGAGCTCGGAGCGCAACGCTTCTCTGTTTTTGCGCAGCGCCCTCATTCTGCCAACCAATCCCCGAGGAGCACCACCCCCCGGGCCACTGCTAATTGGCGGAACTGGCCGTCAAGTAGGCGCGTCACCTGGCAGCCGGGCGGGGCGAGAGAGAACCCGCGCCCCGGCGGTCGCAGTGAGTGTGAGTGTGAGAGCGAGGACCGCCCCGCAGGTCCCGCGGCGCCGGCTGGGGACTCTGGCGCGGAAAGTTCCCAGTCCCCAGCCGCAGGTAACGGAGAGGGAATAGAGAGGTTCCCCCGTTTGCATCAGCAACTGCGAGATCATAATAGCAACCGCAGGAGCGGTCTCCTCTCTCAGGAGCGGGGTTTCCGATGACGCTAACATTCTTTTTCCTTTAAGGTATTTTCCTTGCTACTGATCGTGGAAATAAATCACCGAGAACGGGGAAAAGTTGCAGCGTGGCCATTAATCGGCAGGGGTTACCTAAGTTAAGGAGCTCTGGCAGAGGCGGGCCGGGCATTTAACAACCGGATATAACACGGCCTGTGTCAGGCTGAGCGTGAGGGTCTGCAGGCGCCGCCTGGAACAGGCGTGTGGTTCGGAGGTGGGATTCAGCCCAGGAGGTCAGGGCTGGCCGATACTCTGGACCTGCAGACGCTATAGACTCGCCTCCTGCCGTCTTCATGGCAGACCCACATGTCCTTACTAAATAGATGAACTCGTCTGGGGACCTAGTTTGAGCTGCGAGCGCTTTGAGCAAAGACGGAGGGGCTTGTTTCATTTGAGCTCTGCCTCCAGCCCACCGAACGCTCGCCTCCCGGCTTCGGGCACCGAGCACCGTCAGGCGCTGCAAGGAGCCTGCGGTAGCCCTGCGCCTCTCCCCGCCGAGTGCTCCTCCGCGGCGGCGCGCACAGGCTATTTCTTTTCCTCTTTATTTCTGA